GGGATGCTTTAGGGCGGGGCTACACGGTGATTGACAGGTCTCTCCCAGAGACTTATATGGCGTCTCTACGTCACTCCTCCTCAGTACACATATGCTCACTTCCTGTTCACTGGCTGCAAAGAATTAACAATGTGTTCTTTTCTATTCTATTCCGAATGAGGAGGAAGAGGATGAAGAGGAGTTGACTCCCCTCAGCGCTCCTCCCACGCTGTCAATCACAGAAGAAATCCTGGAGTTCATCAACCAGAGCAGAGCCAGAGATGGACTCACCGCCATCCACACTGACACATCGGTGAGGAAACACTTCATTCTACTCTACATCCACTCAAATATGCCGTCAACCAGATTCACCACCTGATTCACTAATATCACCTTTAGTGTGTCTGTTTGTACAACTACTGCTGCTATTCATGCTAATGTTCACATTCGAGTCACTTTCATTGTCTTACTTTTCTTCCAGGTGCGCGTTCTGGATCAGCCCAAAGAGAGTCAGCCTCCATCCATCCCGACCAACTTCACCTGTCCACTGCCCCCAGTCGCCTGCCCCTCCAGTCCAGAACAAAGACCCACAATGCACCAGGAGCAGGAAAAAGCAGAGGCCGAGAATGACGGCACCTTCCAAAGTCAGCCTGGTGACCCTGGAGGGGAAAGCGGTCTTGAAAATGAGAGGACTATGAATGAAGTCCAGGAAATCCAAGATGCAGCAAGTGAAGTGGAGAAGGGAGTGGAGGAGGGTGGAGAGACAGAAGGAGAAGTGTTAGGAAAAGAGGAAGGAGAGGAGGAAACAAGAGATGAAGGAGGAGAGATTATCATCCATGTGTCAGATCTTCATCCCTCCATCTCAGAAGAGGAAGAAAGAAAGAGTTGTCAGTCGCCCAGGGAAGAGGTGATCACTGAAACCACCACTTCCTCCCCAAATCCAGATCCCCCTCCTCACCCATCCCAGAGAGGCCAGCAACGCTCAAGAGGCTCCCACCTCACCAAGCGAGACAAGAAGATCATCGAAAAGATCCGGAGTTACTACGAGGCGGCAGCTGAGGCCGAAGAGGACGAAGCAGAGGAGAAGGAGGAGGAGGACGAAGACCATGACGACGAACGAGGAGAAGGATTGACACAGACAAGGAGAAACAGTTTCTCACAAATCCCATCCGGCTTAGTGAAGGAGTCGGTATCGCGCTTTGACATGAGTGGACACCAGGGGGAGCCAGAGAGTGGACGATGCAAGTGTGAAACAACGGAAGCAATCGACAGAGAGGCAGATCCAGAGATCCCTTCCGTCACTCCACTCTCAGCAGATTTAGAGAGTGATGTACAAGCTGAGAAACAGATCAGCTCTTTGGATTTTGATGCAGAAAGTCAAGCCTCTACCGAGATTCAGGACAAGGAGACTCCAAACCAATTGAATCTGCAGTCGAGTCCAAACCGTCCCGTTGAAGAAGAGGCTGAGATTCTGGGCGAAGATGGAAAAGTTTGCAAAGGACCATCGGAGGAAGCGCTGGAAGAACAGAAGACGAGTGTTATGGCTACCGGAGAACCCGGTGGACATTCCCAGCGAGGAGAAGAACCGACTATTACCGAACAGCACAAGTGCACAGACAAACCAATCACAACCAGTGCTGGAAACCCAGTTGTTATGAATGGACATGAACCGAACCCAGCAGGGCTGGCAGAACCAAATGAAAGCCACATTGAACCACCTACTCCTCTGCCAGCTACAGAGCAGTGTCAAAAAACTGAGGCCAAGGCTCAGTCCACCAAACACAGAGACCTAGAAAGAACCAGCTGGAACCTTGAAGGTCTTCCCAGTCAGATTAAAGTGGGTCGATGGTCCCGCCAATCCAGGATTGTCACCGCCAACCGGGTCTTGTTTGAGGGCATGAGGTCGGACGTAGCCGGTATTGGGTTATTTGAGGCCGGCCCCGTGGTGGACTCCATGCTGATGGAAAACTCAGAGCGCATTCTGAGCAAGGTCCAAACAATGGCCCGCATGTACAGCGCCAAAGCCAGCACCATGAAGGTCCCCCTGCATCAGAAACGGGCCAGCAATGTATGGAACCTATCATGGGACTCAGGTAGACCGTCTGGATACTCAACTCAGACCCAAACCGAAAGCCAGTCCATTCAATCTCAGACTCAAATACAGAACCCGACTAAGTACCGGCAGCAAACACAACACCAAAAGGAAGTCAGTCAATCAGAGACCCACTCAGAGACCAAAGTTCAGAGCCAAACAGTAACCCAAACCGGGCAGCAATCGCAGATCCAAAACAAAACCCAGCTGTGGAGTCAGACACATTACCAAAGCCAGAACCAGACCAAGACTTACAGCCAGTACCAGACCCAAACCACGAGCCGGGAGGACTGGATGATCCAGGAGAGGACCATAAAGAGAGCGGAGAGCCTGACAAACGGTACGTCTTCTAAGTACAATGACTTGATTTCTTGTCGAGTGGACCACAAGATAACTGGATACCATTGCAACCCTTAAGCGTAGTTTATTCTAGAATGTTTTGTTACTTGGCACACTTTTCAGACATAACTGTCACAAATAGTTGGCTGATAAAAACACAATCAACATGTCGAAGGATTTTACAAGGAAGGCCTTAAATGCTTGACAAGCAAATGAAAAGTGAAGCCGATGCTTCATGTGTTAAAGCTGCATTCTCTCTAGTGTCCACCAGGGGGCGACTCCTCTGGTTGTATAGAAG